TATATATTTACACACACATATATATATATATAAAATATTAAAATGACTAAGAGATATTCAAGGAAAGGTCAAGAACCTAAAACAATGGATATTAAATAAATTAACAGTCTATCAGATACAGAAAAAAATAATCCCAAAACAAATCTAGTAATCAAATGTAATAATTGTTCCCATTAACATCACGTAATCGACTGAAGAAAATCAATGCAATCAGGTGCAGTACACTCAGTATAGAAGATTTTTCCAAAGTTCTCGTTAGGGATCTCTAATTGTTCGTTGCGTACTGTCGCTTTGCTGCAAGAGATTCGCGTTTCCCATCCTTTTCCCCACCTCATTCGGTATTTCTTGCTCACATCGTCTCAGCTCTACACAGGACAGCGGTTGAGGATAATACACAGAACCCACCACGGATTCTTAAACCATTAAGTCCACATATATGGACCAAATACAGACGACAACAATTTCTACAAGGACTAACCGGATAGCAGGCTGTGCTTACTTTCTTCCCTCCCTTGAAGTTGTCTGGCCATAGAAGTGGGTGTGTATTTTTAAACTGAAATAATCAGCCATTCGGAAAAAAAGAACAACCCTCCTGCGATTAATACCCTTCTCATCACCACACCGATTTGTTTTGTTCTAGCGCAATTTAAAAAATAATGGTTATCCTTAAGAAAAGCAGCAGAATCTTTGCACGGTAGCAGTCAGAACAAAACATTTAGATACAGCGTTTTGTCACTTGGCTTGCACGCTCAGGTCCCAATTTACAGAATCCCAGTAACGAAGACAGCAACGGAAAAGGTAGGAAACAATCTTTTGTTCGTAAGGAAATGCTAATTCAAGTCAGATTTCCGCTGATCAGTCAAATAACTCTTAAACAAATTTTTGTTTGAAGGCAAATATTGATCACAGTTTTGTTCAAAACCAAAAACACAACAACAAAAAACCCAACGGCCTTGTACTTTGCAAAACGAGCGCTTTGTAAGAAAACAATGATGATTTCTAAAATATATCCTGTGTGGTCTTTTAAAAGTGAATTATCAAAAAACATTTTCCCAAAAATAAATTAGATAATTAAAAAAAAGGTCTTTTCCAGCATAGCTGGACATTAGGCTGTCCTCACTGAGCCATTAGTATTGCTGCTTTTCCCAAAATTTGGGTCATTTTTTTCAAACCATATTTCAGCCAGCTGTTGTGTGGACCCATAAGTTGAAGCTTTGGACCCCAAGCACATTTTATACTGTTTTGGATCAAGATTGGGGTCACAAAAAACAGGGTGATGCACATGGACTACTCCAATTTCTTGGCTTCGGAAAGTTTTTAAGCCAGCTTGAATGACTTTGTTAAATAAGTCTACGTCTTCAAGGCCCCAACCTTGGATGGAGACATCAAAGCCACCTGCTCGAAGAAGATCACCTTTGTAAATACAGGTAATACCAAAGCCATAGTTCCTCCAGAAACCTGTTTTCTGGGTGAAGGCAAAATGATTGTCACTAGGAACTTTTCCACTATAAACAATCTTTGGATCATACTGGCTAAAAATGATGGGAAAGTATACTTGTTGACCCAAAACTGTATTGGCTCTACACCGCTGGAGGAATTCGGTGGTAAACACTAAGTCAACATCGCAGAAGAAAAGTAAAGACTCATTCTGGAACTGAGAAGATCCGACTTCCAGAGCCAGTGCCCTCGAGAACTCCCCCGACACTGGTAAAACCTGCATGTCAGCCTTGGGGTATTTGGAGCGGTAATCTCTCATCAGCTCGATCTGTTTCACTTTGTCAGGGTTGGAGTTGGAATTGAAAAGCAGGACAACGAGCTTGACATTCTGGTTTGGAATGAGGCACGTCTTTTCAAAATTCCCCATGAACCTTGCAAACATGTCAAAACGTCCGGAGAGAGGAATCAGGATGTTGATCTTCTTGTCTTTGAGTTCCTTCCTCTCCACTTTTGATCTGCCAAGCTGGAAGGGAACAAACATCTTCAGTGAGTTGGAGAGGAAAGACAAGGATCCGGAATCCTGGTTGATTTTGCTGGCCAGCTCTTTGGCGTCCATCTCTTCATGCTCCATAAACTGGATCTTGCTGAACGTCTGCTGCAAGTAGGCGTGCCTCCTGACAGGGACGGTCATCTTCTTCCCCTTATGCTTTTTGTACAGAAGCAACAAGTCAAGAACATACTCTGCTCCATACATCGGATTTACTCTGCGATAGCCATACTGTATTTCCTTGAAATCTATGATCCTCCCCCGGGTCTTAGCGTTGGCGTTGATCATTTCCATGACCTGCATAACAATGTCATCCAACGCTTCACGCTGCGAAGAGTCCATTCCTCTTCGAGGGGGCTGCCCGTCGGCACCCGAATACAAATACTTTCCTGTAAGAAACTCCCACTCCAAGATTTCTTCCCGGTGGCGGGGCTGGAATCGCATGAAGGAGGGTGGCATGCCCAGCTGCAGGTCATCTTTGTGGATTTCTGTATTACTGTATTTGCTCATCAGGACAATTTCCCGGTGCAGCTGTACAGTCCGGTGGCGCAGCTCTGCTATCTTGCGGCTCAACATGTAGCTGTGAAGTCTGTACTGGTATGGGGGGTTCTTATTGGGGTGCAGCGTTATAGCTCTGTGTATTTTGCTGTTCCTCAGGTCTCGGATGTAGCCTTTTTTGTTCTGCTCATAATTTTCATAAAATAGTTGCTGCATCTAGAAGAGAGAAAGGAGAAGTTAGCGTCTCAGCAGTGCTGTCCTTGTGGAAGCTAGCTCACACAACTTCCTCCTTGCTTGCAGGGCCCGGCGGCTTTCTGAATAAGCTGTTCTTGGTTTTAGGCACAGGTTGTAGCAATACCAACTGCTATTCAAGGAAATTAAGAGGATTATTCATTGTAAACTGGTAAAAGAAACATCTACCGTGGATTTGGGATTATTACAGCCCATTCTAGAGATATCACTGTCGGCCAAACAACTGAGCAGCAGCTAGACTGTAAGCTCATTTCTTCCCAACAATACAGCATCACCAGGAAAAAAACCAAACATGAAGCATTCACTACAAAACTCTTACTATTCTTCAGCCTCCCACGGGCTTGAAGAATAATAATAATAAAGAACAATAAAAAAGGATGTCATCTACATAACAAGCAAGTATGACGACACCTTTTCCGTTACACCCAAATGCTGCTCAGGCATTAAAAATCCAGCTTGCTGAATGTTTTAGTCAAGATGCTAAATACGTTATCTCAAGTGCTGCAATGCAAAGCTACAGTTCCCCTCTCATTTTAAAATGTCAATAGAAAGTAAAATGCACCTGAGATTCCTAGCAGCAGTTCCAGAAGGCAGATAATAAAGGATGCATGTGTACGCTAGAATAAAAGCATCCTTAAAGTGAAAATTGCTATTTCAAAACACGAAGATAGCAAGCTAAGATTAGATTCAGAAGCCTTACGGCAAGCCACAACTTAAGAAAAGCGGGCAAACCAGCTTTACAGTTTTCAGTAGGTCAGGCAGTAGAAGATACAATGAAAGGCATGTGGAAACCAGGATGATAAAGTGGAAAATAAAATGGGGGAAAAAAAAAAAAAAACCAGAGAAAAAACCCCTCAAGGCCAAAGTTATATACCAGCCTAGAGAATGGACATCTAAAAAGACCACGGGCTGATTCTATGTCACAACACAAATGTCATCAACCTGCCACAACAGCTTTATTTGATATAGGATCCAATCTACGTTACTGGCAGCAGAATTTGCTGTAAAAGGCTACTATAAAGATTAGCAAAGACCTAAAATCCAAACGACGAACAGAAGAGAGAATGACTCAAATATGATGGCAATTAAAGGGAGCACTCAAAGGAAAATCACAGGCACAGAAAGCCTACCTCTAACAGACAGTGCGAGTGATGCTTCCACCAGCTGTTCAGACCCAGCAGAAGTCCTGTTTTATTAGGCCTCCAGTTGCATATTTCCCATTATTGTGGACAGACAGTGAATCTAAGGGATAAACCTACACCTGGATTTAATTGCCGCTATCTTAACACACCAGATGCGCGCATACTGAAACCTGAAATTTAGTGTATCACTATGGACAGCAGAGGAGCAAACTCCACCCACTTGAAACGGCTCTCATGGATTTTAATCTGAACAAATGTAATTCATTTCAAAGGAGGGAGGGAGGAATTTCAGCCAGACCGAGAAAGAAAGGACATTTTTTTCATGGGTCATCACCAGTCCCCCATCCCTCCTCCATTACTGCTCAAAACCCCCTCTCCCCCAAGTAATTCCTGCTGCTTTCACGCTGTCTGTGAGCAATTCAGGCCAGAGGCTGTCTCTTATTAGACAGACTCCATAGAGCAATGCAGCCAAAGGAGAACATCTTGGCAATGGCCTCTTGGCAAGCCACACATGAGCTGCCTGTCAAGATGCATATCCCTTTAGAAGTCATGCAAGATTTAAGAGTGCACTACGGGCAGAGGTAGTTGGTCTGATCCTATGTTCAGCAGAGATATCAAAATCGAATGAACCTCATGCTTTCCCAAGAAGCATATTTTTCTACTCACCCAAAGACTGTTCTTCATTTGTACCCCTATATTGTTTCCTCTACTAATAACACTTTATTTTTTGTCCACTTTGAACCTCGCTGCTTCTGTTAAGGGCCTCAGATCACACCCACTTATGGTCAGTCCTGTAAGCACAATTTATTTCAATGGAGAGCTCACGCAGCAAGAAGAAGACCAGTCCAACACTGCAGGACCCACATGTATATTTTTAGTGACTCCACTGATCTATCCTCTCTAAAACTATTTATATATATAGAAATATAAGTATTAAAAGCGTATGGTAACAGATTTCACTGACATTTTAACTACAATACAACTATAGGCACAGGCTTTCCCAGGAGTATTGTGACATTAGATAAAAATTCTTAAAGCATGTCATTAGGCCACTGTTATTTAAAGGAAAATTGACAATAGGATTTAATTTCAAATCTTGTTTTGAATTTATAAGAAAAGAAAATCAAGACCATGCAGCCTGAATGTATTTATTCCAAAACTGCCATCTAGGGCATTCTGAGTTAGCTGCAAGAGGAAACCATAAGAAGCAGAAAGGCTTTTAGATTACACAACAAAGTTTTAATAGAATACCGATGGGTAGGAAAATGTTATGAAACTTCCCAATGGAAGTAAAGCTATGAACCCCTAAATAAAATAAACAAGCGTATTTTAAAGCTCTGGCTTGCCATGCAGGAGTAACCTCTCAGCTAGGCTGGTTAACTTCTGAACTTTTAATACTATTTGTCTCTTCCAAAAACTAGCTAACTTTGAAAACTGAACTGAAAATAAAACATATCTCAGCAAGACTTTACTGGTGCTTCAACCCAAAGCAATTTACAACTGAAACTTCTATTAACGGTCACCTTGCTCCAGCCAAAAAGGTGACAACTGTAACAAACCATGTGCTCCGGCCAACCCTGCAGTGCAACTAATGAGAAGCACCACAGTAGCCAGGCTTTTATATAATCCTATTTTTTTCAGAAGAATGCCTTGCAAGGCTGGCACTTTCATTGTTCGTCCTATGAAGTCTCCCCCTTCCATACTCCAGCGTCGCTCTTGTCTCCTCGCATTCAGCAAGCTGCAGCAGGCACGGGACGTGCCAGCATCCTGCCGCCCCGGTCCCCCCATCTAGGAACCAAGGTACACCCCACTCCGGTAGGAAAGACACGGAAGGGTATGAGAAGGGGTTGATTAATTCCCTACGGAGAATATAATGACTTACACAGTATTTTTGCACAGTGGCATGAAGTGCTGTAAATGAAGTCCAAGTGGCCAGCAGCCAACGGAGCAATTTAACCCTTCCTGGACCAAGGTGCCTGCGGACACCAACTGCACAGAAGCACTGCGATACCCATGGGCTTTCCTTCACGATAAGAAGTCCCACGTAGATTGCATTTTCTCACCTGTATCTACAAAACTTGAAAGAAATGAGCGATTCCTTCCATACAGTTTGACAGCTCCACCAACATTAATTTGCTTAAATCATTAAGGCAGCACTAGTCCTCGGCATTGGGTTCAATCCCTAAGAAGAGCAATGCCCAACTATTGCCCATCACTGTTAACATAGTTTCTACCTCATTTGGGACAAAACACTATGCTAAATGAGCACACATGGGCTTTTGACTGCACACAATACTGGAAAGCCATAAGGAAGACAAAAAATTGTAATTACCTCTTGTGTACATCATTAATAGGTGGGTGGGAGAAGATGACAGAGAAAGTAATACCTGCAATGTATTTGTTCCTCCCACATAGCAGCCATTAAACACATACGTGGGGAGAGACAGAAGCCCAAAATGTCCACGTCTCTAACACACATTACGTGCAAACTTCCCCATGCCTGCTACCAGACTCTTGCAAGTTGAACTCTTGCAAACTCTTCTTTTAGTGAAACAGGTCTCTCTATGATTCTTTTCAAAAAAAGAACCTTTCATGGATATTAATTTTGCAATGATTATATTCTAAGCATGCTTTATTCTAGTGCAGAGCACTGAGAGCATAGGGATACAAAGAAGAGCTACTCTTTATTGACCACTATTTACTCTAGACCTGTTGAAGCCTTAAAAACCCTAATGTTCCCCAAACCATTAGAGACTGAATGTTTAAACTGTGGTACAGCTGTTGTGGGCACTACTGGCTCATGTCCAAAAGACCAAGTGAAAGGAGAGAGTGTTATGTTCTTCGTTTTAAATGAAGAAGTCTTTTGCAGGCCAGAAAAAGTGTACTGGAGAAAATGGACTTTAAAAATAAGACCAGTTTATGCAGAAACTGGCCCGTAGCCACGGATTAGCCCCTGAGGGCTTTCTCTCACAGCTCCAGATTGTACTACCACAGCCCAGAAAATGTAGCCCCACAAGACTCGTGAATAGCAATCGCGGACAAGACGTTGCATAGCAGGCTTCAAAATGCCCAAGATGTGCTTTAAATACAAAGCCAAACTAATTAAAAGCTCATAAGATGGCTAATATCACCTAGTGCACGAGCACCTCAGTTGGGAGGAGATGAGCGTGCAGGTCCCTCTCCACAGCTGGTGCAGAGCTGTTCTCCTATGGGAGTAACACCGGTGCCGGGTCAGCCCTTACCCTGCCCCACAGCTGTGCTGCCAAAACTAGGCAGGATGCTCACCCCCATCTCCTCCTCGCTCCTCCTTCCAGGGATGCAACCGTAGTGGTGCAAGGAGGCAGTTCCTGTTGGTTGGGTGAAGTGAAATGAAAGATGTTTTGCAGCCATGTCCCAAGTAACTGTATGAAATAACTGTATCTGCACTAACAATGAGTTGCCACTTCGGAGTGATTAACCAAAACAGATCACTAGTTTTCTGTGTTTTAAATCACCAATATAGCTAAATTGACAAAGTATTTTGCATGTAGACCCAATGGAAAGGAACAGTGGGTCTTTGTTTACTGCTGACTTGTCTATGGTGGAGGGGGAGACCGTAGTGACCTCCCTGGATACAACTCTGTGTATTCAGGGTTCTAATTAACAATGATCTTTCCATTTTAAATCCTGATGCTTTATGTGTGATCCCACAGCTAACCACTGACATGTCCTGGGCAGAGTTATTATGGTGGAGACAAACACGGGGAAGTGATGGATAAACACTCATTTCCAGTGAACTTGGCCACTCGTTCATCCCTGTAACCTCCCCAGCTGCCACTACAG